TTTCTTAAACCAATACCTTCAGCCTCCTTGAAATGTTAACATCATGTGACACACGGAAGAGCAGCAAACCCCTTAATATTGGCCAACCTTTAATTTTTCGGCCTTTAATTTTGCGGAATTCAGTGGCTGCGATTATGTCCTCTGTGACCGATTCAAGAAGAAATAGGGGCCACGAAGATGAGGGAGTTTTACTGTACATTCGAGGAAAGAGGAAGTCACTTTTGTTTGTATGCAAGAGTAAAACCAACAACAACAATCATGGTGTCGACACTTTGTGAGCCTATCTGTGTCTATTGAATGATATCAATTTTGTTTTAGTTCGTTAAACATTGTTGCCTGTACATTGTGGGATGTCGTCTTCAACACGAGCAGTGGTTTTCCTCTGAAGCAGGCAGCATGGACTCCATGCCGTAGCACAACATAGTTCATTTGCAGGTGATACCGCAGGTTGAAGGATGGTTGGCACAATATGGGGGAATCACAATTCAATGTTCTACCTCGGGCGTAGACAAGATTTGCTCATTCTAAATCATTTCGTCTAAAAATTTGGGATTTGCGACGAGTGTACCCACGTGGTTGGAAGGGCCAGACGAGCCTTGTGAGCGCTTTGTTTTCTAGCCCCTCAGTCCTGAACCCACTCACGCACCACATGTGTAGATGTTCCGACAGGTGGGAGCTCTTATTTGGAAAATGGGGAATGGCAACTGTTATCTTTATCAGAATTCTGTATTATGGTCAAAGTTGAACTGCATATTTGCAATACGTTTTCTCACTTAAAAATATGTCATACTAAAAATATGTAGAATAGCCGATGACAAAAAGAGAATGGCTGGGCGTCCTCCAGCACGTGCTTTTGCTTTTCACCCCACTTTGGACAGATGTGCTCGCTCCAGGCTCATGAGGCGCTGAAACGTCATCGAAGGTAGCAGACGGGCTGGTGGTGGAACAACGGAGACTTCTCCCTGCCTTTCTCATGCTGTCGGTGAGCGTGTACTTCTATACTCTAACTTAGCTTAACCTGCACAGAGCTGAGGAGAATAGGCTTGGCGAGGGCCCTTACTGCATATGCATTTGTACAGCTGAGGCACTTTCTGAATCAAGAACATTGTGTATCTTACCTTCAAAAACACATCATTTTGGGGGTGAAAAAGGAATTGTAAGGCATATTTTTGTTCGTATTGTCCTATTACGCATCGCAGACACGTAGCCAGGTGGAGGCCCATGGGGCCTGGGCCCCCCCTTCCCCCTCCCCCTCCGAAATCTTCCGTTTTGCATGTGTCCTCCTCTCCCCCCTCCCCCTCATACACCATTTTGTCATGAGTGGGCCCCCCCTGAAACAAAATCCTGGCTACGTGCGTGACGCATGGACTCCTTCAACTTAATGCGGAGTCGACCCACCCTGTTGAAAAATTTAATGCCTGCCGGGTAATTGTTTTTCATTTAGTTAATATATCAGTATTCAGTTAGGTATCCCAAGTCATTAGTCGTTGAGATGCAGTCTCTCTGTAAGTCAGCCATGTTTAACATTCATAAAACTGCTTGTCAAATAACGGCACTGTTGAGGACATGTACTCGGCTCGAACAATCGCTGTGCGCAAGCTGGTCGTGTAGTTACAGGCAGCAAACATCCCGGTTGGAACGTCCTACCTCGCAATGTAGCTGAAGACCAGGTCAGGGCCCCACTCACAAACGTTTATACTTTGCATCTCTTTAAGCTGGACTACTTTTGACACTACAAGCCATTGCAACAAAAACAGTGTAACACATGATTATAAGCTCGACGTACCATGGCATCCAACTAGAAGGTAACATGGCTTGCAGCTTCTGCCGTGGTTAACTTTAAACTGAGATAGTTTGGAATAATGCTCTCGGTTTTTAGTGTTTCCCGGCACGGTTAACAATTTGGTGATATAGTGCTGCATTGAAAAATCTGCATTCGTGACTGTATCACCTTGTGGATGCATACTAGCAATTAAACTCTACATTCTGCTGAGAAATGAAATGCACTTTGCTTCCAATTGCAGCTACTTCTGGAACTTCCTGGGATGAAGCACCTTATGGCTGCAAGCTCTGACCGATCTTGTTCTCTGGTCTGCGCAGGCCCATTGTAGGGAGTCGCTCCGAAAGCCTCACCAGAGTTTCCTGCCCGTGGTCGTTCTAAATTTTTTTGTTGTAGGTATGCATCCTTTCTGTCTTTCCCTTATTGTACTCGGGCGTTTTCTTTTCATTGTCGCAGATTTGCCTCAAAATTGGTTCAGCACACAAATGAACGCTGTACAACTATATCCCACATATTTTGTTCAAGATAACTTCTCTTTGCGAAAGTTAGATTTTTTTATGAAGGTTAGTCTTTTTTGTTTTTATTTACAAATGTATTTGAGTTTCCATGGGCAACACTAAAATGTTATGCCAGGGGCAAGGACAAGTTCACTGCTCTAACTTGTTCTCAACTGATTGCAAGAAATCTTGTTAATGTCGTGAAACCTCTTTCCAGCACTTCCTTTGCAGCATGAAAACAAATTATACATAGGACCTACTCTTTTTTAGAGTGCTTGCTCATTCTGCAGGTCTGCCTTCTATAAATGTCGTGCTACTGGAGGGCGGGCAAATTCGATTGTTGGTTTTGCCATTGCTTTTTTCTTAGCCGTTGTCTTAATAGTTCTTGTAAATTTAAAATTTTCCTAAAAACAAGTCGGAAAGAATATTTAGTTTGACTAGTTAGTTGAAAATAATGATCTAGTACCCTTTAGTCAGTATAATAAATACTGTGTGCCGCCGTTAGTGTCAACTAGAGATCCACGCTTTTTAGGCTTTTTGCGCAGAGTAGTACCCATTTTTATTGGTTAGCCTCTTGGTGCGCCAACTAAACTCTTTCTATCCAGACACCTGCCCTTTCCTTTTATTTGGCAGGCTCTGGCAATAAAATAATATAGTGTTATTCCTCGGTGGCTTAAAAACCTAAAGAAAGAAGTTTCTGCATGTTTAAACGCAAACTTTTATTCAGGCAAAAATGAAATAAGCCAGTAGCAGACGACGCGTAGCCTGAACAGTGCTCCGCGCCAACAGCGTTGTGTCAAAATGGCGGTCGTCTCCTCTTTGCTGCCTTCTCTATCCCTCCTTCGGCGCTCTCCTCCCTTTCCTCCTCTCCGGCACTTTCGTCACCACACCCACTGGCAAAACTCTCCCACTATACGGCTCTGCATCGCAGTAGTAGTTTTTTTTATAGTCTTTAGAGTTAAATGTGAATATTTGACAGAAATCTCTCAGGTTGTGGTGAAAGAGGGTTAAATGAATGCATTTGAACATTCGCCCTAATTCGGTACCCATCATTTCAAGACCTGTGTGGCCTTGTCCTGGGGTGTGACTATGACTGTGGCTGTGAAGGAGCAGTTTTTTAATAGGTACAAGTAGGGCTGGGCAATTGATCGATTAACCTTCCGATTAATCGATTAATGCTTTAATCGCGATCAATTTTTTTAACCAGTTAATCGGTTAAAATGAGGCGAACAAAAGTAAGTAAATATACGTTTTTTTCCTTTCTCCTGGTGCCGTTCCCTCTAAAACGAACGTACAAACTTGCTCCTTGTTCACCTCGTAGGTAACACCCAACAAACAAATCATTCGTCGTGAGTCACGCGGGATTGGAAGAAAAAAGCGAAAACAGAAGCGGAATGAAAGCTGGCTTTACGGAAGTCCGGTGACCTTGGTCATGATTTGAGCACACGCAGCAGTTTTTTTTTTTTGAAGGCACGCAAGCATGGGGGGGGGGGGGGGGGGTTGGTTTACGGGTTTGCAGCGACAAAGCTAGAGCTCTTCCGAAGGCTGCCTTGATCCCCATTGTGGGTTCTGCTCCGTCCTTGCGGTCACTACAACGTGACCTCGCTCGTCTCTCCGCTCGTTCAGCGTGGTGCAAAGCCGGCCGTGGTCGTGGCTTGCTTCAGTATTCGACCCTGTCTTTTATTTGTGTGGTTGGAATTTCTCTCTCGACTTCGCTTTTGCCTCTTGACGCAACGACCTTGGCGGACCCGCACTGCCCGTGGCAAAGTGCTTCCAGATGTTCCCCCGTTCTCTTGTCGTCTTTGACGAGTTGGCGCCGCGCGCAGCCGGATGGGCTCGTTTCCCTTTTCCCCGTAAAAAGGGGTCTTTCCTTCGCCGGGGATTTTCTGTTTGTTGAAAGCTTCAAGGACGTCGTGGAATTAGAGCGTGCTGGTAAACTTACATGAACGACGAGGATGTTTCATCCTGTTTTTGTCCTTCATGTACTACTCCTATAACACCTTCACGGACGTCCTCGAAGGATCGACGCTCCCCAATTATCCCCGTCTCCCTTGCCCCCGTCTTTCCCCTTCCCTTCACGTCGCGCCGCAGTCACTTGTTTGAGAAGTATCTCAACAGAACACCCTGCGCAGGCATGGACGAATACAGGAGTATGAAGGGCAACCTTTCAGGGAAATTCGGGTTTAAAGTAAACTCCGCGGGCGAAGTTTCTGACTTAAAGAAAGTTCACTGCCTCATCTGCAAAAAAGCTTTCGCATATAGTGGAAGTGTAAGCTCGCTTCAATACCATCTCAGAGCTAAGCACCCAAGCATCTCGCTGCAACAAGAATCATCTGCAAAAAAGCAGACGACTATCGACGTTTTCTCTTCGAGGCCGGTTTCTCTGAAGAAAGAACAAACTATTGCACAAGCCCTTACATCTTGGCTTGTTTTTTCTAGCCGGCCTCTCAACATTGTGGAAGATCACGGACTAGCGAAACTTCTTCAGATTGCCTTGGATTCTCCGTCTTACCAGCCGCCGTCCCGTCGTGCAGTGAGTGCCAAGGTGGATGCCCTGTATACCTCGAGACGGGAACGTCTTCAAGCAGAACTCTCGGCAGCCAGCTTCATCAGCTTAACAGCGGACTTCTGGACCTCCATCGCCAATGACGCCTACCTCGGGATAACGGCGCATTGGATCGACGACGACTGGATGCTTCGATTGGCAACATTGCAGGTGAGACATGTACCTGAGCGCCATACGGCAGAACAATGTGCCAGTGAGGTATTGGAGACTGCTACAGATTGGGGAATCGTTGAAAAGGTATAAGCTGTCTGTACCGATAATGCCCGCAACATCTGTCTTGGGGTGGAGAGAGCAAACTTTCAGAGTCTGAAGTGCGCAGCTCACACGCTTCAGCTGTGCGTTCACAAGGCGCTCAGCGTGACGGGCGTGGAGCGACTGCTAGCCGCCTGTCGTCGTACTGTGGGTCACTTTAAACACAGTTCGAACAACCAGGCCGTCCTTTCAAAACATGCCGCTGAACTCGCAGCACCTAAGAAGAAGCTTCAGCAGGACATCGCAACACGGTGGAACAGCACGTACATAATGATAACCAGCCTGCTTGAACTGAAGGAGCCTTTGCGCCGCTCCATGGAGGACAGCAGTACCATAAAATCGTCGATTCCCCACCTCACAGACGTCGATTGGGACATGTTGGAGCAGCTTCGGGAAGTTCTGAAGCCCCTGCTCGACATTACTGAGCTCCTTAGAGGGGACAAGTACGTTACTCGGTCTGTACTTATTCCAGCCTTAAAACTGCTAAAGAATAAAATGAAGACAAATGACTGTGACCCTGCCTTCATCTGCCGCTTCAAGGCCATGCTTGTGGACTCTATCGATGAGAGGCTTCGCGCGTGGCCGCGGTAAAACGACTATGAACTGGCAACGTGTCTCGATCCTCGTTTCAAGAGCCTCGCATGCATCGAAAAAGATCGCCGCGAACTTGTGAGGGAAAGGCTTTCCCAGCTAACACATGCGTCTTCGGACGACGATTCTACTGATCTGACGCCCAAGAAAAAAAGAAAATACGTTTTCTCGGAGGAAAACGAAGAGCCCACCATCTCCTGCCAAGTGTCGCTTTATCGATCGATGGCCGAGGTGACGGACGATGAACTGGACCCCCTACAGTGGTGGCGAGCTCGGGGCTCTCTGTTTCCTCAAATTGTGCCAATTGTGAAGAGGGTGATGTGTGTCCCAGTCACCTCAACGCCCTGCGAGCGTCTGTTCAGCGCAGCAGGGATGATCGTCAACAAACAAAGAAACTCGCTCCTGCCGGAAAATGTCAACAAACTTCTTTGCCTCCGCTGCTGGGGTTGTGATCTGTGAGTGCGTTACATCAACGTTTATTCTCAATTAAGTTTGTATATATGCGCCGTTTATCATACAATAAAACAAATTGTAAGGACAAAATGTCTACATTTGCTTTTTACTAAAATCAACCGATTAATCGATTAATTAATCGATTAAAGGGTGGCGATTAATCGGGTTAAAAATTTTAATTGACGCCCAGCCCTAGGTACAAGTACAAAGTATAAAAACAAAAGGATCTATGTGCTGATCACGAAAGAATATGCTAGCCGTTCTAATGTAGCTCTGCCAAGTACTTGATTGTGATTTGTTTTTATTTTTAGCTACTTGGGTGGCCTCAAGATCTGGAGATCCTAGTGGCCACAAGCTTGAACTCAATCTTCTTCTGTGGTCCGGCCAAGACCATGGGGGAGGTAATCCCAGCAACAAGAGCATTACAGTATCTCCCTGCCTGTGACTTTCGCCAACAGGGCTCCCAGAAGAGCCTTCTGGGTGGGCGAAATCTTTCGCCATCGAGATACCGACGGGTACCCGGCGAACCTTGTTCCCTGGCTAAGGGACCGAGACACAGAGCCCTTTCGAAGGCGATTATTTTTAACTGCATGTCTTTGAAAGCAGGGTCACGCATATCGATTAGAAAGCGATGTGGTCGTACCGAATCAATTAGTCGCTCAGAGTCCATGACTCTGGGTCGCCTGCCGGACCCGTTGCTTGGAGAGCGGCTATTTTACTTCCTCTTTTTTCAATGCCAAAGGAAAAACAAGAACCAAGGAATCGCCGTGCACGCGCTATTCCGCAGCAGCAAGCACGGCACAAGGGGCGTGAGAGCGCTAACAGATTGCTTCTGTAGCGCTAACAGAGCGCTACATCACGCGCCAGGAAGCGCCACATGAGCGCTCCTTGGAGCGCTCACGTAGCGCTAACTTAGCGCTCCGCTGTATGTGTGAACCGGCCTTAACTTAGTGAAACTTTTCTGTACTGGAAACTCGCTTTGTTTTAAAGGTTATAGGCGAGTTAAAATTTAAAGAAAATGACCTCCTTTATGACGTCCCTGGTCCCAGATTGGTGGCCAATAGTACGAGCAAAGAGACTGGCCAATCGGCTGCGGCTAACGCTGATCGCCGCTTCCCCTGCAGGCGCACGCCCCTCAACGGCTCGTTGATTGCTTCCACCCTACAACGCGCTTGCCGGCACGAATTTACCGGATCGGTCGGAGTTGAAATATGCCAAAAGCTGTGGCTGGAATTACTATATCTAAATTGTACTCCACTGTATTATCGTGCAGATCAGTTGGCGAAAGTACAGAACGACATCATATTTCTTTTCCTAGGCAAGGAAAACCTGATTGGGATCTCTGAGTCGTTTGCAACGTGCCCCGGGTCTGTCGAGAACCTGACTGATGAGACCCTACATCCGCCTACCCGATGATCATATTGATACATCACCGGCAGTGATGATGCAAAAAATAAAAGTGAGCCACGCAAAATGTTTTTTCTTACCTCGTTGTTAATCGACTGCAATAGCGATCCCGATGCCATGCGCCCACCATATGTGCAAACGTCTACCTTGGAATATGCTGCCTGTTAGGAAAGGTTGTGTTTTGCGAGAAGAAGCTTTATATAACTGTCATGGGATTATCGATGACATGTATTTCTGACTACAAAGCTCAGTAAACATGAGATTGCTTGAGGCTGATTTGTTGACGACGCAGGAGTACATTTTTTTTCGGGAAGTAGTATTGGTATGCTAATTGTTAAAGCAAATAACTATTAAAAAATTAGTTTGTGAATTGTTTCAGTGGTTGACTTATTGAATAATTTAAAAAAAATGAATTATATGCAACCACAAAATATAATGCGCATTGTAGCTGCTAAAATTATATTCCACGATTATTAAATTGAATTGGGAACTAGCATAAAAAAAACTTTATGCGTAGTGTTCCACGAGCGCATATTATGGGGCTCTCATATGGAGAACAATAGTCCAATACTTTTTAGAACTCTAGGTATTCTTTTGAATTATCAGTATATGTTACCACCCAGTGTAGAACGTACTTATAGTGCATTGTTCAGTTATTGGTGACCTCATTGTGACATTGTTTGGAAACGTACAGTTTGTACAAGCATGAATTGTGTTTGTTGCAAAAATTCTCGCGTCGTAGCCAATGCTTCATATCACTAGCACTCTGGACCACTCTTTGATTGCTATAAAGTGTTGAAAATACACAAAAAAATAATTATAAACTTGCTACACTCTATTCGGAATATTGTATGGTTAAAAAGCATCTGTTGCATCAATCCTCATGGGACGTACACTTCAATTTTAGAGCTCTGTATGTAAAGCCCGATCATTATTTTTACAGAAAGCTAAAACAAATCGTCAACCTATGTTTTTTCAATCTGATAACAAGCTCACACAATTGCGAGCTTCAACGCTACTATAACCTGAGTACATCAAGGCTTTCCCAGCTAACACATGCGTCTTCGGACGACGATTCTACTGATCTGACGCCCAAGAAAAAAAGAAAATACGTTTTCTCGGAGGAAAACGAAGAGCCCACCATCTCCTGCCAAGTGTCGCTTTATCGATCGATGGCCGAGGTGACGGACGATGAACTGGACCCCCTACAGTGGTGGCGAGCTCGGGGCTCTCTGTTTCCTCAAATTGTGCCAATTGTGAAGAGGGTGATGTGTGTCCCAGTCACCTCAACGCCCTGCGAGCGTCTGTTCAGCGCAGCAGGGATGATCGTCAACAAACAAAGAAACTCGCTCCTGCCGGAAAATGTCAACAAACTTCTTTGCCTCCGCTGCTGGGGTTGTGATCTGTGAGTGCGTTACATCAACGTTTATTCTCAATTAAGTTTGTATATATGCGCCGTTTATCATACAATAAAACAAATTGTAAGGACAAAATGTCTACATTTGCTTTTTACTAAAATCAACCGATTAATCGATTAATTAATCGATTAAAGGGTGGCGATTAATCGGGTTAAAAATTTTAATTGACGCCCAGCCCTAGGTACAAGTACAAAGTATAAAAACAAAAGGATCTATGTGCTGATCACGAAAGAATATGCTAGCCGTTCTAATGTAGCTCTGCCAAGTACTTGATTGTGATTTGTTTTTATTTTTAGCTACTTGGGTGGCCTCAAGATCTGGAGATCCTAGTGGCCACAAGCTTGAACTCAATCTTCTTCTGTGGTCCGGCCAAGACCATGGGGGAGGTAATCCCAGCAACAAGAGCATTACAGTATCTCCCTGCCTGTGACTTTCGATTAGCATCACGACAAGGAAGTCCTCGTGCCACCAGCTGTTAGGTATGCTACTCGAAATAAGCATTCTCACCTATTCTTTAAGTGAAACAGCAAATGCACTACTAAGCCTAAAATGCAAAAAACATATTCAAATCTTGGTTTGGATTGAGTTCAAATTACAAAAAGGAGTCTGCAGACATGATTCACATGTGAACTTAAAGCCCGCGGATGTAGGTTCGACGGAGTCACAGAAATAACTTCCCGCAGATGGCTTCGCTAGTGCTATACCCAAACAAATTCTTAAAATAATCATTGTGTTACGTTGGTGTTATCAATCTTATGTACCTACCCCACCCAGCAGCCGGGAGATGTGAAATATAAAAAAATGTGAACTTGCACATTGTCAGCTCTGCAAAGATAATATATTGAACCGAGCATAGCACGTTCAAATTAAGAAAGCAATTCAGTGCAGGCCTAGTGTTAAGGTTCACATATGCGTTATTGCCCTTCATAATGAAGTAAAAACTGCTTAGGTTGTGGCCCACTACAGGCTTTCTATTAGTGTTAAAAAGTGTTATGGCGTTTTAAACAGCTCGCTCCAAATATTTTCTTGAAATACGTAGGTTTATGGAAATTATTACGTGGATGTTTGCAGACAGTCATGGTGAGACCAATCTTTAGTGCCAAGTGTTCCATTTATTCAGAGTTGGTTGAGTCTGTAAATATTGTAGTTTGCAAATTAATGTGTTATGGTATGCAATTGGCACAATCATCCGTAATGACTAGCTCTACCTAGGGGAACTTTATACGTTTACTACGGCAAGATGGTTTCGCAAAACTAAGTATTTAGTTTATTCAACTCCTGCACTAACCTTATCTCTGGAAACTTTTTATATCCTTTACGATGCTGAGATAGGATTCTGGAAGTATTTTTCTAGAACTACGCTAGACATTTCCAGTTAATCATTTTTCTCGCAAAGCATTCGAGAGAGCCAAACCCTGTAATATACGGATGGAACTCACAGAATGATGCGACTGGCAGTTTGAAACATTCGGCACCGTAACAGTAATAATGACATGTCACTTGCCTATGTAATGCTCATTGTCGCAGATCAAACTGCTTTTTCCGTCTACACTCATTTTCAGTGGACTCATTCAGCGAACTCGCACCCGAGACTGCAGCACTGGGTTCTGCGAAGTAATTTGCATGAATATAGATGCAACAGGTTTCTTTGAGTGTGCGTCTAACACGTATTCTTCATATTGAATCTGCTAACTGTATTCATGACCATGTCCATAATTGTATCCACATTCCAGCTTATTTTTATTTTGACATTTGAGTTTTCTTCAGTACTTTTCTTAACATCTGTGCTTGTTGAGCCGTACTCAAGTCCATACATCGTGTCTTTCGCTGTTACATTAATATATAAAACTGTTGATGCCAAGTGAGAATTCAAGGTACCGAATCTGTCTTGCGAGTTAAATAAGAACCAATAAAGAGGTTTACAAAGGAAATTTTGCTAAAGCAGGCTGTATAGTCATTAGAATAGCACATGCCATGCTAAAAAAAAAATACAAATTCTTGTTAGGTATGCAAGGATGACAGTGCTGTGCTGTTTCTGATGTGTCACAAAAAAAATCAGTGCCATACAGTGTTCCTTATGGAAGTACAAACTTGAATTCGAAGCCCAAAACGTTATTCAAGAATGTTTCACAATACGAATGTATTTAGAGATCTGAGCCACTGACTCATACCTGACTATGTGGCAAACATTCATTTTCGTGTGCATTATAGTTTGCAAGGTCTAGTCTGCATTGATTTATTGCGTTCATGCTGAAACTGGGAGGGGTTCTCTGGGTATGAATAAAGAGATATAAATTTCTTGAAATCAAAACATTTGAAAACAGGCAAAAGAAAGGATCCAAGAACAGTATCTTAGATTCTCTTTTCTTTTTCTTACAGTATGTTCACTTTATTTCACCTGATGCATTTAGTTTTTAGCGCAGCTCTTAGCACCCGTTTCCACGTTTCGCTGCGTCGCTGTTGGCCTAACCGCCCAACTAAACTTGGTAGGAAATTGAATTAATGTTGCGGTCATGTGACGTTAATATTTCCGCTAAGTCTAGCTGAGAAACTGAATTTTTTTATGGATGACGTAACACGGCCATGCTACGTCATTTTTCCCGCTACTTTTAGCGGGAAAACTGCATTTGTGTTGAGGTCATGTGACATGAATTTCCGCGCTAAATTTAGTGGGAAACGTAAACCGCTAAATTTAGTGGGGAAATTTTCCCGCTAAATTCAGGGGAATTTCCCGCTAAATGGGAGGGAGCAGAAGAGGAGGAGGGGAGGGGGAGGAGGGGCATACCCTCCCATCCTCTTCTTCAAGATCTGTGCTCTAATTTCACATTACGGAGAATTGTAAACGTCTTATATTTCATCTCATGTTTATTCAACTTTTATATTGCAGGTGCGCTTGCAGCACAAATCTGGGTTGTGCTGATCCTCTACGCACAAGTTAGGAACTCCTGAGTGGCAAGAGTGGGAGTTTGGTCTGACCGCTCAAGGGACACCATTGTTCAGTATTGAGTTTTTAATTATCTTCTTTTGAGCAAAGTTAAGCTTTGCTGCTTGCAGTTCTTCTAAAAATAAATACCTGCAACCAAATTTACCAGGTCACGACATTTTGCCTCTGCTCTTAGTGCTCCTGGTGAGCCTCGGATAAGAGCTTACTGGTGTGCTAACATCATGCTTGTTTGAAACCACTCACTGATGTAGAGGCTCGCTGACATCCAGCATTCCAATGAAACGCTGGATGTCCACAAGTCTTTCTTGAACAATGCAAGCGGGAAAGGAAGCATAGAATCGTATCGTATTGGGGGACATTCTACAGAGTGTTTTTTTGTATGTTTTACAGACTTTTTTTTAAAAAAAGCCATAAACGCTACATTTACGCGGTCTGTGCACATGAGTTGCATGGCCAGGGCGGCATAGTATAAAAGGCTAATTTGTAATGATCAGTCGGGTTTTTACAGAGATGTGCCAGACTTTTTTCAGAAAAGTAGATGGAGGTTCATTCTAGCGTAGTTTTATCCCGAAAATCTGAATATCCCGTTCGTTTTCCACAAAGATATAACTAAACGTGAGAAAACACAAAACATCCTACCAATAGTGACATCGTAAGAATACCTTTCGGCCGCCAAGCGCGTGTCGCTTAAGGGCCGCGCGTCCAATCGCAAGTTTTCTAGGTATATTCTCCCGGATTGGCACCAGTCGTGAAACATTTTACTGCCCTTTTTAAAAAATGACATGTGCGTGCATAGCTTTGATAGGCGCTGAAGATGCGTAAGCAAAGATTTCGAAAGCTGCTTTTGTGACGTCGCTCTCCAGGGAAGTGCTTTCACAGCGCTTTAAAAATGACTCTATGCAGCCTCGATTCATAAAATTACCAAATAATTTTGATATTTGAGATTCTGGAGGTCGAATGAAGAAGATTTAAAAGTGTTTTCTCAAATACAAAATTGCTTCAGCCTCTCTTTAAGTATGTTATATTCCTGAAATTTTTAATCAGTGAAAATAGACCCATGGTTCCAATTAGAAACCTGCCAAGCGTCATCAAAACACACTAAATCAACTTTCTTTGTGAAGATATAAGACAAGAGAAGCATTTTGTGGCGTTCTTAAAAAGTGGTCAATTTGGACGCGTTTCCAGACTTCGATTTCTTACCAGAGCGCATCTTAGCACCTGCGGTCCTGCTGCCCGGTGGCCGCAGTGCGAAGCCGCCCCCTCGCCTCCCTCGGAGGATGGACGGAAGAAGGCGCACGTGTGTTGCGCGTCTAAGCCCCTGGGGAAAAGGACCGTGGGTGCAGAGATGAGCTCTGATAAGAAACTGAAACCTAGACACACGTCCAAATAAAGCGTTTTTACAGAACGCGTAAAATGCTACCCGTGCATTATATCCTTCTAAAAAGAGTTGATTGTGTGGTTTTCAATGACTCAGCAAGTTTCTAATTGAAACCATATTTTCATTTTCACTAATTAAAAAGTTAATTAACAAATTGTATTTAATTATCTGACTGATCGTTACGACTAGGTCCCTATACTACGTACGCCTGGCCGTATAACTCGGCTGCACAAACCGCATTAATTTAGCTTTCACGACCTTTCTAAACATATATGTAAAGCTTAAAACTAAATCGCCCTGTACAACAGTGAAAAGGCGAAACCACCATGCCGGAGCCATATGGCTCCACCATGCTGGTATCGCCTTTTTGCTGGTATAGGATGTCACATATTACGTTATGCATGTATGGTTCCGTCCGCCTACATGGTTCCGCCATAATCCACTACGCTGGTATAGGATGTCCCATATTACGGTTACGCTTGTATGAGCCTTTTCCGTCGTCTTTCCATCGTCGAAATTTTCCAACAGGGCTCCCAGAAGAGCCTTCTGGGTGGGCGAAATCTTTCGCCATCGAGATACCGACGGGTACCCGGCGAACCTTGTTCCCTGGCTAAGGGACCGAGACACAGAGC